GGGTTTAGGGTTTAGGGACACCTGCAAACAGAAAGGATGTTGTCAGCGATTGCGCATGACTTCACATCATAATTAGTGCTAAACCTTGTCTATCACCCCATGGGTCCATGTACCCAAATAGCATATACTTTGGCCTTAAAGTATGCTGTATACAGGTGCTTTGGTGGAAGAGTACATACTATTTGGGTACATGGGCCTTTAGGGTCAGAGTTTCCGAAGCCCAAGGATCAGCCAACCCCCCTAAACCCTAAACCCTAAACCCTAAACCCTAAACCCTAAACCCTAAACCCTAAACCCTAAACACCCTAAACCCTAAACCCTAAACCCGGTGCCTCTCTGCGCGCTGGCCCAGATTTGTGAGCGGATGGCGAGGGAGCCGGCGAGAACCTCGGACTTGCCGCTGTTGCAGGCTCCGGGCCTTTCGGGGACTTCCGTGAGTTTAGGGTATATAGGGTTTAGGGTTTAGGGTTTAGGGTTTAGGGTTTAGGGTTTAGGGTTTAGGGTTTAGGGCTTCTATAATTAAGGCTTCCATAAGGTAATAGACCTTCTATAAGGCCCCTATAACGGCAACTACCCACCTGAAAATGTTTTAGATTTAGGGTTAAGGGCTTACTTGGAGGCCCAGGGGACTTAGTAAGTAGGTTATAAGTAGAGTTATAAGTGTCCTAAATGGAGTTGCCCCAATTATAACTCTACTTATAACCGACTTAGTAAGTTTCCTGGGCCTCTAAGTAGGGTTCAAGATCTTCGGGTGAAAGCCTCAAGCCGCAAAATCGGAACCCCATGCACCCCGGCCGCGACCTGGCCCGCCACCTCCGACCCGAAACCTAAACTTCCTAAAAACAAACTGTTGATCGAGATCCTGCAGCACCTTTTGGACCCGAAACTATGGGAATTATGGTATATTCCTATAATAATTGGTAATGCAGGATTTATATCCCTAAACCCTAGACCCTAAACCGCAGCTCTAAGCCCTAAGGGTCCATTTCTCAAAACGGCTTAGACGCTGACCTGAAGGTCCGTTTTTGGAAATCCGCTCAAGTGAAGTACATATGGGCAATTCTCTACGTTAGGGCCCCTTTTCGGGTCCTCTTTTTGAGGGTGCCGTGCTATGTTGGGGACCTATTGAAGGGACCCTAATTTAGAGAACTACCCATATTATTACAAGATAAGCACAGGTGGACCCTATGGCGTGGACCGAACATGTAAGGGACAATCGGAGGGACCCCTAGAAGGGACCCCTAATCCTAAATACCCTACATAACCCTTATATACCCCTTACATAGTCTCATAAAGCCCCTATATAATTCCAAGGGTCCCTTTAATTCTAACCCTAAACCCTAAACCCTAAATCCTAAACCCGGGTCCCTCCTTTAGCCCCTTGAATGTAACATGAGGGGTTTAGGGTTTAGGGTTTAGGGTTGAGTCCAGGCATCCAGTGATATCTGATAGAATGCTTCGCTGAAGATGGCCGCGTTCGCTCCCTGGTGCCGCGACTGAAACAAATTGAGGCTGGGTTTAGGGTTTAGGGTTTATAGGGTTTAGGGAATAT